ATGATGATAATGAAGAGAAGGATGAGGTGAGATGTTTGTGATTCAACAAGTTCTCCAAACTGGACCCAAAAACGAGCAACAGTGGGTTAGACAGAACAACTTTTGAACATGTTGTACTATGAAGGGAAAGATGTATAATCTCATTATAGATGGAGATTGTGATAATATAGTATCCACCAAGATAGTGGACAAATTGAGCCTCACTACTCAAAATCATTCCTAATCATATTCTCTTATTTTGTAAAAAAGAAAAGAATGAGGTCAGTGTTGATAAGAGGTATTTGATGGAGCTTCCATTGAATAAAAACAATAGGAGCAAATGTGATGTGGTGTCTTGTTTATCAATTTATATCACATTTTATGGGGTCGATCATGGCAGTATGACGGGCACAATTTGCGATGGTCATAAGAACATGTACTCTTTCATCAAACATGAGAAATAAATTGCGCTTTTGTCATTAAAAGAATCAACATTGATAAGCACCATATAGAAATGGGTGCTAAGTTTCATGGACAAATTTTTTGCGGACTATGAGAGAGACGCATTACTAGGGTTGGTGATGTTTGAGGACAAGTGAGATAAAAGAGCCAATACTTGAAGCAATGCGGCTTCTACTTGAGAATTTTCAAGATGTTATGACGACGAGTATAAACTAGTCGAGCCAAGCTCGAGTCTCATGCTTGGATCGTTGGTCAAAATACAAGTTTGAGCTCAAGTCGAGCTTGCCATTAGCTCAAATGATGAACTCTAACTCGGCTCATGGTACTAATAACAAGCTTGCGAGCGAGATCGTGAGTTCTACAAAAGAAGTCATCAAAGTGATCAATGACGAGAGAAAAAATGATGGGTGGGTCAACGAAGAAGACATCAATGTGACTGAAATATAGCTAGTGGAGCTGGCTCATGAGCTAATGAGCCGGGCCTTGTTTAATAAATGAGCTTGAGCTCGAGCTCACAGTGATCTCAATTTAAGATTTAAGCTCGACTTGCAGAGACCACAGACTTATACACTTAGTTCAAACTGATAGACTATCATATAGGTTACCACCTCTATGTGAGATTCAACATGTTATAGATCTCATGACAGTATCGGAGCTCCCCAACCAACCAGCATAGCATATGTGACAAATAGAGTATGAGAAGTTGCAGAAGCGGATTGAGGATATGATGGCTCGGGAAAAAGTTTGTGAAAGTGCTAATGTGTGTGTTGTATCAGCTTCAATTGTGCCCAAAAAAAATAGATTATGATATATGTGCATTGAAAGCAAGACTGTGAACAAAATCACCATTAAATGTCAATTCTTTATTTCGAAATTGGATGACTTGTCGAATCAATTGCATGGAGCTAGCACCTCCTCCATAAGTGATTTAAGTGTAGCGGCCACCATCAGATTTGGATGAGATCTAAGAACGAGTGAAAAATCACTATCAAGATGAGGATTGGGTTAAATAAGTGAGCAATCATATCTTTTGTCATATCCAATGCATCGAGCATTTTTATGAGGATGATGACTCATGTTTTTTGAGCCTTTGGAGTGTAGTTATTCTGAGAAGGAGCGTTTGTAACACCTATGATAGGTTTTGGGAAATCTTCGAAAAAAGCAATTTTATTATGGTCATCTAAATAAGTCACTTTCTGACACGACAATTGTATTTCCTTTGATATATTATTTCAAAGGTTGGCATTGAGATAAAACCCATTAAGATTGAAGCTATCATAAAATATCCCACATTCATTTACTAGTATTTCCATAAATTGACTTCTTTCAACAATATTTTTATCAAGAAACTCAACTCTACTGAGACAACATTGATGGAGCTTTTCAAATCAAATAAAATCAATTGGACAGATGAGCACAGACGAGTTTTGATGCTTTGAAAAAAGAGGTTACTCAAGCCTTTGTACTAGCTCTTCTGAAAATTAATCAGACTCTTGAGATTAAGTGTAATGTCTCTAATGAGAGAATTGGAGTCGTATTGAGCCAAGATGGGCATCCAATCGCCTTAGTGAAAAACTAAACAATTCCAGATGAAAATGTTTCACCTACGATAAGGTCTTTCATGTCATTATAAAAGCTCTCGGGCATTAGCGTCGTTATTTACTGGCCAATGAATTCACCCTCCATATTGATCAACGGGTCCCAAGATTCTTGAACAATCAAAGTAAACTAAAGGGTGTGCATGCATCCTGGGTTGAATTTCTCTCGGCTTTTTATGTTGTACTCAAGCACAAAACAGAGTCAAAATAAGGTCGCAATCACCTATTGATCATTATCATGCAATTGAATTTAATTGACCTTGAAGTATTGAAAGATTTGTATGCTATTCATGATGACTTTTAGGAGATTTAGATTCATTGTCAGAATAGTCCATGAGAGTAGTATTACAAACCTGACAGATACTTGATTTCCAAAATAGGTTGTGCATCTTAAGTTTAGACTGAGTCTGTTCTACAACAGTGCCGCAAAAGAAGGATAATAAAGCATTTTGGCAAAACAATTATTTTCTTAGTGAAAGAAAACTTATGTTGGCTTAGATTGGAAGTAGAAGTGAAGAGGTATGTCAGACAATGCAAGTTATGTCATTTGGCTAAAACTCAAGAGCAAAATACGGGTCTCTCTGTTGTCTATTCTAGGGCTCCCTTAGATGAATATAAGCATGGAATTCATTATGGATATTTCCCAGAGCCTCCACAATGAAGTATTAGGTTAATGGACCACTTCTCCAAAATGATACATTTTATATCCTATCATAAAACGATGGGAAATTCACAACTTACAGACTTATAGTTCAGAGAAATAGCTCATCTTCATAGTGTGCCTAGGACATCATATCAGATAGGGATATAAAAATTTTTAAATATTTTTGGAATTATTTAAAGGGAAAGCTAAGTACAAAGCTCCAATTTAGTATAACGGCATAGTCACGGACATATAAACAAACATATGTGATAAATCACACTTCAAAAAATTTCCTTAGGTGCTTTATGGGAAAGAACATCATGCAGTGGGATTTGATCTTTTCTTACGTTGAGTTTGCCTATAATGAATTCACTAGCTATTCCACATGTCACAACCCCTTAAGAGTGTATATGGACAAAATCCTCTCACTCCTTTAAAGCTAGTACACCTAATACAAAATCCTCACTCTATATTGAGCTTAGCCCTAATGCAAAAGCTAGAGTTAAAGAGATTTAGATGGTAGCAAGAGCAGGTGATGACAGAAAATGTCAAGTTAAATGTTAAATGTTAGAAGTAGGCTAATAAATCCATGAAGATTATGGTATTCAAAGAAGGTAACTTATAGTGGATCAGATTAATGAAAGAGATATTTCCTATAAGTTCAGTTGGAAAGATCAGATCTAGAGTTGATTGTCTAATCAGGGTTATCAAGAGGATCAATGATAGCATAAATGATTGACCTACCGAGCGACTATACTATTATTGCAACCTTCAATATTGTTAATTTGGTGTTGTATTATGAGGATTCATATAACGTCAAAAATGAAGATGAAGCCCCTCTCACCCAAAGAAAATGGCACAAATGTGGTGGCAGGTGCAAGTATGGTGGCAGACGCAAAAGAGGGACTTTTGTCCCAGTCCAAGCAAAGAGAGCCCAATTAGCTCTATTATGTTGCCCAAGGGATGGGGCCTACATAGTCTTTTAGGCCTTTAATCTACCATATTTAGGAATTTATTAGGGTTAGTTTTATGGCACTAATATAAAATATTTTGTTATGAGATCGATTACGCACTTTTGCTTAGATTTTATAACATTAGAAATCTGTTTCTCTTAATCTCTCTCCTTGAGAGATATGAATCATTATTTTCCCTTTATAAGTAGTGCGCCTAGAACTTGTAAAGAATATGTGGTGGCTTTGTTTCAACGTTCGTAGATCTCTGATATCATCACTGACAGCCTCATCTCAGCTTTCGTCTACAAACAGCTGGCAGCTGCTGTCCAATTTTTCGCCCCCACCAAACCATTACGTTTCTTAGATTTTACTACTTAACATCATGGTACAACACTCCCACTTCCTTCTTTGACTCTTTAACACCAACTAGGACTCCAAGACTGGCGTCAAGTTCATATCATTTTTCCATAGCATCCAAACAACCAGTTTCCCATCATTAGACGTTCCACACCATAGAAACAGCAGCAGCTAGCAGATGACTGCAAATTACATTACATGAAGTAACTCTAGCACAATGCAAGGCCGGGTAAGGAAAGGTAGAAGCCCTGGCTGGCACCTCCCCTTCACTAAACGGTGAAACCAGCAAGTTAGGTTGAATAAATTTGAGCAAAATGAACCAGGCCCATAAAGCTTATAACAAGTGGTTTGCACTCTAGAAAAGCCCAGCATCCAGAAAGAAAATAAACAAAAAGAATAACTGGAACATAACAACAACTTGTGGTCCACATCCAACATCCTGATTTTGGAGCACGTAGTCACACCACATGCCATAATCCTTGACAGAGGTCAATTAACCCAGCATCAAGTTACTAATACTCATGTCATTGATATCCACCCTTGGTGTCCTAGCAGTTTACAAAAAGTTGAAGATAGTCTGCCAGATTCTTGGGAATAAAAGAAAGACAACCAACAAGTATAGTTCTTCAAAGTACACATTGACCATAAACTTTAAACAGTTTTTGTCATTTGTAGTCACATACTCACATCCATGCATATCCAAAAGCAAGCACGACAAGCAGGGTAATAGAAGCATTAATTACCAAAAAAAAGGTAATTTACATTTTCGCACATAAATTAAAGCAGGAAAAACATGAATAATTAATACTTAAACAGTTTGTCAAATGGCCAATTAAGAAAACCAAATAAGAGATCGCTATATAATTTTTTAAAAAGAAATGGATTTGTCAATTATAACTATTTTTGTATGGTCTAATTGTTTGAAAGCGTAGAGTTTTGTTGACTACTTATGGAGGCATGTGTAATTTAACAAGTCATTAACTCAACAGTAAGACAGTAGAGAGCTACCTGGCTAATAACAAACTTTAAGATGCCGTTTCTTTCCAATTCAACTAATGCCATATGCGTTAAGCTTGGCATTGCGCGATGAAAAGGAAGAGATGCTTCAGGCACGCCCTTGCCTTCCCTCTGCAATTTCAAATGATAGCTGATGTAAACTTCTATTTCATATAGTAACTGTTTGCAGAGAAAGAAATCAAAGTGTTTCCATCACAGCATATAAGCCTTACAAACTGATTTCTAATTCAATCCCACAACTACAGCATTCCAGAGAAAGAAGCCAATGATCATGATTTACTTTTATCAATGATCCAATTTTTTTATCATTAGAAAGCACTCAACCGATAAGCATCAGATGTATCAAATAGATTGTAAGCGACAATAATTTTTCTTTATAAACCATCCTTGCTTGATCTTGTGATGTTTTTCACTTATTGTAGCTATTAAAATAAGCCCCAAAAGTGTGTGGACAATAGCCTATCCTATTTACCATAATTCTAAAAACCCTGCCCTATCATGATTTGTTAGAATCTTTCTCAAAATCGCACCATATTGTTGTCCTGGTTGTCCAATATACAATTTGTCAGAGTTTTGGATGTTATCACATTTAGTTACAAGCGGAACATTTAGGGAAAAGTGTTCTAATAAAACTATAAAAATGTGTTGCTCCTAATAATGGCAGAAGTTGGATAACTTGCATGAATGGTTAGAATCGTAGTAGACTTGTGATCAATTGTGTTGAGACGTCAACAATCAAGAACCAATGAATTAAATACAAGAGCGGAAAATAAGACAGTACTATGATCAAGATTAACAATCAAAAGAAAGGTTTCTATGACATCATTAATAAGAATACACTTTTGTGGATTAGGAAAAAAAAAAGCTCACGGATGTAATATATGAAGGTTAATTGAGGATTGAAGAACTCTAAAACAAAATACAACATTGGAAGGTAAATAAATTGAAGATTGAAGATCTCTAAAACAAATTATATCTTTAGAAGAACCAAAAGAAAATCAACAAGTTTATTGTACTTAAAAAGCTTGATAGTAATGACTACTAAATAAAGCATAAAAATACTTCAAATTCCAAAATTACAATCATCACCATCAATCCTTATATTTTGGTCATTCCTGTTGAATATTAATGATGGCTGACAAATATACTTACTATGATTTTGAGTCAAATCTAGATAAAAATGAATAACTAGATCAATTTACTGACCAAGAAAATTATTTTAAAACCTAATTTTAAAATATGTGTTAAAATTAAATTCAATACAACTAAAAAATAATGGATATGTAAAACTAGTTTGTACATTGCATAAGCAAAGTGTAAATTAGTCCATTAGTTAGAGTTTCTTAACGCATACACAACATATCAAGTTCAATTCCTATCCCTAACAATTTTTTTACTTGTAATTTGAGTTCAATAAAAAAATTGAAAGCCGACTCGTGATTGAATCAATTTTGATGTTGGACAAATTCAACTTGAAAGACAGCAATTTTTAGTTAAATTTAATTCCAACACGACGAGATCTCGAACAATTCGCTCTAGCTCGGCACGTTGTTAGCCTAAGAAGATATTAACAGTAAGCATTAAACTGAAAGATGGGATGAATCTTGTATTTGTTAAAAATGCAACATAATATACTATAAGTGTAAGTTTACATTGCATTCAAGAGGAATTTTAGAGAAATACAGAACAATCTTGGAGTATGAATAGGTAGCCATTAAGATCATGGAAGCAACTAAAATGAAAGATCCAGTTACTCCAATATTGTCCCCAAAACTCAAGGGGTCAAATAAAGTTAGCATAAACGCATAATCAAGAAAATGAGATGATATAATGGAGCATTTATTTCGATTTGAAGGATTATATTAAGGATATGTTTGGGCAGCTTATTTGGTGCGATGGCGTTTTGAAAACGCACATGGCCTATTCGGGTAAATTGCGTTTTGGCAGCTTATATGTTTTCAAAATGCTGAAAATAGCATTTTCACACCGCACCTATCTAGGTGTGGTGGCAGCTTTCTGACAGCGGAATGGCTTTTCCAAAAAAATAAAAATTTGTAATAGCCACCACACATAGCTTATCAGCAGATTATTTTTAATCAGCTTATCAACAGATTATTCAATAAATTGCAGCTGCCCCAAACAGACCCTAAATTAATACTTCTGACATATTGAACTACATCATGGCACAGTTTAAAACAATTTAGAATCACAAGAAAACAACAGTTTGTTACTATATGTTTTAGTTTGATGATTTAGAATCTTTTGGCATTATATAGTACAAGTTCCTTTAATTTTTATGATATTTTACTTTTACAAAAGTCAAGATTTTTTATGATGGCAGTCAGCATTAGTTATGTCTTCTTAATCACGTACTTCGTGATATAAGAATGAGAACTTTGATGAATGATAAGTTTTTGTTTTGCAATCTTTGTTAAACCAACAAAATGAATTTTTTTCTGAGAAAACTCCATTAGAAAGTTTTTAGCAATTTCCAACCTTCTTCGAGGGGGCCTTAAGATGAAGATGATAATCCTCTTCAAACCGATTCAAAGATCAATACCCTAATCTGCGTCATATTTCATGTTTCGCCTCATCATATTGACCCTCTTCAAACTGATTCAAAGATCAATACCCTAATCTGCGTCATATTTCATGTTTCGCCTCATTATATTGACCATACTAGAGCTGCCAGGAGTAGCTACATCTATATCCCACAATCAAAAGGGAGAAGATTCTCCATGTCATTTGCCCGCCCATAGACCTAAAAATATGGGAGAGTTGGTCTCTGATTGTGAACAGAGGAATATCAGCTTAAGCTACACTGATTCTATAATGATTGGTGAATTACAAGAAGCTTAAAAAGTGAATAGGAAAACCTTTTTTCTTTGCAAGGAAGGAGTTATGTGGCAGTTAGAAGACAAGATTAAAGCATGGCACCGTATACTATCAAACTACTTGGTGAGTACTCTAGATTTAACTATAAATCACAGCACAAGTATTGAAACATTAGCCCTTATAAACAGAACTCATTGGCAAGATAGAAAATGCTATCAAGGTAACGATTACAGAGAACCAAAAACTTCATGCTTCATCAAACTTGGAGAAATTTGAATATAAAATAAAGTGAAGTTGTGTTCATTCTTAGAAAGGATGTCTACCAACCATTATAAACTTGATTTAAACCTTCCTTTAAATTTCAACAACGTAAAACAGTAAGATTCTTGGCACTGTTGAAAATATTCCCCACTTTCTAACATTTATTTTTCAAACTTGCTATATTTGTCATAAGGAGCATGTCTATCAAACATCACGAAAAGAGAGCAATTATAATAAAATGAAAAAGATGACCACACCAAACAAAACAAAAAAAAGTAACGTCCATAAAGAATTAAATCAACAAATTCTTTTATTTTCCTATTTAAAATTTGAAGCGATAAAGCCGAGCTATAAGGAATAAGTACAAGTAGTGAATGTTATGGCATTTGAACCATCCGGTAAGTTTATAGAGGCACAATTAGCAAGAACTTGGTGCAATCTAAAAAGCTAAAAAAGGAGAATTTGTGATTTCAAAAATAAGAAGATATGTGAAACACCAAAGGCTGACACTCAAAGAAATTTGCAAAAAAACAATAGTTATTATCACACACAATCAAGCTTTCATTCACCTGAAGGGTCCATACACCCTTTGGTCCACGAAAATCTGGTATGCCGCAAGCTGTTGATATCCCAGCACCCGTAAATGCCACCAAATGCTTGCTCTGGAAATTTAATGAATACAAAGTTACAAAAGCAATAGTGGATACTAAATTTCTCATCTCTTTAATTTCAAGACGAAATTTAAAAGATAAACTTTTGATTCTTGATATTTCTAACCTTCTTTATTATCATGGCCAGCTCTTCAATCTGCAGCTCGCAAACACAAAAATAATATATTATATTGCACTTGGTAAACAGTAAGAAAATTCATTTATTGTTTGACCAAAAAGTTTAGCAATTCAAGAGAAATTAGATTCTAGTTACCCCCACCAATCACCTTATCCAGAGGATAACTGAAAGCTAAAAAAATTAGAAAGAAATGCAACTATAAGCATAACTTCTAACAAGGGCAATCTGATAACATAAAAATAATGTCAATCATCAGTTTCAACAATTTGAGGTGTTAAGTGACGTTTCAACAGCTTGTTGCCTTAAAAGTTTCAAATGTATGAATATTTTTGAAGGAAAGAAAACAATTTAATAAAAAAATATGCAAACAGAGATTAAGAGTAAGATTAAAATTTGAAAAAAAAATGAAAAAAACAAAGGAGTAAAACTCACCAATTGAACGGGGTAAACAAAAAACAAGACTAAAGTCAAGATGGATAGAACATTAGTATAAGTTATGCTAACACTATGCCAAATACAATGTGGCTTAGAAGTTCGATTCAAATACATTTTTCTGTTGGCACTTGTGGACAAAAATTCATGCCACATTTTTTACTACCATGATAGCACGAACTTTTGCCAGGTCAACAGAGTTCTCATCTTATATCCCAACGTCTCTCCAATAAGATATCATAAAAAAAAGTAATATGTAACAATTTCTTTCTTATTATGATTCCCTCTCGTGATAAAACTCTAATGGATAGGAGACTTGTGAAAATATAAAATATGGATAGCTATATTGATGGGAACAAACTCCACAAACTGAATACAAACAAGCATTTAGATATATGAAGGAAGTCAGTTTTGAATCAACTTTATCAACGAAGAAGAAAGCTAAAAACGCTATAGCTATGAATTGATGGGAGGGTTGATCTTAACTTAAGCAAAGCAATGTGCAATGGCCGTATAAAATAATTTCATCTCAAGACCACATGTGTCACCATGTTTAATTTAAAATCAACTCCACCGCACTTTCCTTATGCGAAGGTAGTAAACATACTCGTTATACCATAAAAATTGATTTTCTGCTCGACTTAAGGTTCAAATCAAAGATATTTCATCTAACTAGGCCTTACTTTCCTTTGAAGAACGACGGGAGGGTCGAAAACCTCAGACAGCCCAACGACGCCAACGTCTTCTCTGTAAGATAACTTCTGGGCATAACCCAGAGACATTGCTGAGGTGCTATTCTTCGCCCCCTAAGAATTTGGACCGTAGAAACCCTCTCTACCTTCCCCTTCCCCCCAAAACAGGGAAACAAATTCGAGGGTTTCCTGCAAATACCGCGGGACTCCTCCCTTCAAAGCCTTCGATCCTGTCGGTAATGTAAAGCTCGCAGGAGAACAGTGTTTCGTCGCTCCTCCTGAATGCTTCAGGGATCGAAAAAACCATCTATTTTTGGCAGTTAGAAAGGAGTCACAAGCCTGGGGATGGTTGACTTGATCTCCGGCGATGGCCCTTTCTTGGAGAAGGATGATAGGCGATCATGGCTAGGTGGTGGAAGAGCTGGGCTTGTTGGATTTCTCAGAGCACAGGGAAAGTTCAGAGGAATTGGAGACACATATGCACGTACGGGATGAAGGGGTTCATTAATATATGACGATCCTATGATAGACATCGTACTCCATGGCCAAGTCCATGTCTGCGCCGAATCCGTTCCAGACGTTTGGGAGAAAAAAATATTAGGATATGTTTTAATTGAAATTATATTTGAATATTTTGCTATTAATTAAATAGGCTAAGAGTTTATTTGGGATTTTTTTAAAATTTTTTTTTTTTTAGATGTATTTTTAATAATTTTTCTATTTTTAAAATGTTAACTTGTAAGTTGTAAACACACGAAAATAATATTTATATGTAGAGTTGCAACTCTAATATGGCTTGATTAATATTGAATCATCTTTGTTCAAATTAATAAATAAACTTAGTATCTTTTATGATTGAAAGTTTAAATAAATCGAAGCTGAACATAGTATAAGTCATTTATCAATGTTCACAGATAAATTTATTTGTTGTTCAACAAGTAGCTCGTTAAATACTATTGATACGTTGTTGAAGAATTTTCATAATCTCGCATGATATTGAAGCATAACACAAATCTAGAGGTAATTTTTTAGTAATAAACATTTAGGTTTTGTTTGGGCCAGTTGCAATTGTTTGAATAAGCAACTGTGAAACTGCTGCAAATGAAACTGTTTTTCAAAAGACTATGATGATTACAAACACCACACTAAAAACAACTTTCCACCATATAACTTTCTAAAAATCAACAGGAAGTAGTTCTCAAAACAGAACCGTTGTGACGATCTGAAAAGCAAATCAAGCAGGAAGTTGTCTCAAATAGGCTCCCAAACTTTTATTAAAAATCATCCAAAACTTCAATATCAGTAACTTATTGTCAAACTAATCAACTTTTCGAGGCGGACACAATGATATTAAAATTGGTCTAATTTGAGTCAGATCAAACATAGGTCAAGTTGTTAATCAATTTTTTAAGTTTTCAGTGCATAATTAGAGAGTCAGACGAATTTCAAACTTGACATGCTTATAGTCATGCCAAGCGTCTCGACAATACGAGTCCAATGAGCCCAATATCATTCCATTTTGATATCATTAAGTTACTTTAAATGCTCACAAAAAATATCGTTCAATTGAGGGAATCTTTTTATGTCGTTTGATCAGAGAGGTATGAATTCTCTTTTTTTTTCTTAAATATGCTCTATATAAATAGAGTCCTACCCCTCTCTTGAGAGGAGACATATACCATGAGCTAAAGGAGGACCGGAGATTGGAGAAGGAGTTAAAGCCCGGTATCATTTTTGCACCGAAGATCTGGTGACAACCACTCCCGATCATTGTACAATGAACATTATACCTTAAAGAATTGTATACTCCTTTCCCAGATTTGAGGCAAGAACTTATACGTGTAATCACCAATTCGTATTTGATTGTTCTAACAGAGCCATGCCCCGTGTTTTTTTTTACTTTTATGGGTTTTAAGTGTGTGTTGGATTCTCATACAATACTAAGATTATAATTCATTGCTCCACCATCGCAAATCTTCTAACACTTATTAGTTTGTCGATGTTTGCGGGAAAGATAATCTAACTATTAAAGTACTCGTGAGACTTATTGTATGGCCACCAAACGCAATGCTCTCTACAATGGAGCATCTCGCTCCAATTAATCATTTCAAGGGCCAATTACAGAGCAAAGGGCGTCGACCTTCGCATCTTTCCACTCTAGAAGGCATTCTTTGCTGGCAAGGGCACCTTAAACCATCTCTAGAAGATTAAGTATACGGGATGGAGAAGTCTTAATTGAAGATTCTCTGGCTCTTATGCAAACCTCAACAGTCAATGCCTGCACAACCATATGAAGCTTACTCACCACTAGTTCAACAACCAACGATAAATGTCCTACTCGAACATACTTGTAATGTGCCTCCCTGCTATAAAACCTCACCCTGTTGGGCTGAGACTTTCTCGATGCTAAAAGTTCCACCCATTCATCTCGTACAACTCACCTGACACTACCCCATTTACTGTCGCTCCTATGATGTCATCTATGATAAGTTGCAACGCCTGATCTGAGAACAGTTCCCTTTAGAGTATAAGAATCACTTCATTGGTTATCGCAACTTTCAATAATTTTCTCCTATACAAGGCAGTCTTCCAACATCCCCATCCCAACGGTTTCAAGCTCTGAAGCATCGACTCTTACAAGGGGGTAACTGACCCCTACGAGCACAAAGATAATTATCGAACTATCATGCACATTAAACATGTCACTGACGTGCTTCTCTCTTGAGTATTCTTTGTTCCTCTCAAGAGTCAAGCTTGCACCAATTTCTACTCTTTCTCGGGGACACTATTAATACCTTTAACGAGCCTATCAAATTGCAGATAGAGTTGTTCATAACAAACCAAATAATCATCAAAGATTCATTCTACCTCTAGAGAATTCTTCAAAATGAGGGAGAATCGCTAAAACACTACTTTCATATTTTCTCAACCAAAGCTCGTCAGATCTCGGTGTGAATTCTAAATTGTTGAGAGGAGTTTTTCTTTGAGGGCTTCTCCTTGAACTTTCTACTCTTCATTTATGTGGGAGACAGTCTGATATTAGGTCAATCTTGTCCATCACATCGAAGTTTATATCATTTGAGATGATGCCATTCAAAGCTCATAACAAAGAAAGCCCAAATCATGACCTCCATCCTCGGTCTGCAAACCAGTGTTGTGAGCCTCGACCTAAAAAGAAATATACACAACTCAACACATTGTGTGCCAAAAACTTGATGGTCATTGAAGATTAAGTGACCTTCAAGTGGCATCACCTTATGAACCCTAATTAGAGAAACCATGGACAGTATTTTCACTTTCACTAGAGTCGTTGTCACACCTCTGAAGCATGTAAAACAACTCAAGGAAAATTTTGAAAGATCAATTCAACAAGGGTACTCAGGTCGGTTGCGCAAGAAAAACCTGCCAATACAGACAACTCTCTCATTGCGGAGCAACAAAAGCATAAGCAATTGTGTGAGGTCACCAAGTAATTGGCAAAATTCAAACATTGCCAGAGGGTCATTATTGTCTGACCAAGTCTTTATCACTACATGTAGAGAACCATAAGAGAAAAAATCACGCTTCGAGTCCATCACATTTAACGATTCTGACTTAGAAGGAGTCCAAGTCTCCCATCAATGCCCTCTTATCATCAACATAAGGATTGGTGAACTGTGCTACAATATGAATAGGCATACTTGATAATGACATCTTCGTCAATGTCATATTTTACTCCACATTCGTTACTTTAGTGTTGACTATGAAGAAACTTCATCCTACATTTGGTGCATTATATGGGTTCAATAATCAACCCACAAGAGTAGGAGGAATGATAAATCTCTCGGTTGTGATTGGAGAATCACCCCAATAAGTGACTCACTCCATCTTATTCATCATTTTCAGGTTAGAATTGGTGTACACCTCCACTTTAAGAGGTCTCTACAATTCATCCCTGACATCATTACTTTTGTGCCACACCTCAAGCTGAAGTTCTCAACCTTTGCATGGTTCAATGTCATGCATGGAGATTAACATAAAACATAATTATGCTACATTAGGCAAACCCAACCATGTTGTGACGCCGAACATCTAAAACTTTCATCCCTGAGATAAGGATGTATCTCAACGAACTTCCACCGTGAAAGGCTTATCCATGTCCTGCTCTCAAGTGACAATCATTCACAAATGGTGCGGTTTGGTTCTTTGTTCTCTGATAAGCAAAGGTCAAAATATCTTATACAAAGAAACTAAAACATCTTAGCATGGTCCCCCCTGATATGCCTTGAGTCGATCTAAAGATAATCATGCACTCTTTAAAGGTGAATCCATCCTTCAAGTCTATCGTTTATAATAAGCACAACTTCACCCTGGATTGTCTACAAGCCATCAAACATGAAGTCAAAAAGTTTATAGATGTAAGGTTCATACGGGAGGTACACCACCCTGCATGGCTGACAAATGTCATCATAGTTAAGAATCCTAAAGAAGATTTAATGATGTGTGTCAACAACTCTGATCTCAATAAGGCATGCCTGAAGGGTGGCTTTCCCCTCCCACTTATAAATCAACTCGTTGATGCAACATCAGGAAATCATATGCTCAATTTCTTGGATGCCTACTCAAGATACAATTACGTAAAGATGAATCTGAGACACGAAGAGATCACCTCCTTCCAAACAGACATTGCTTGAAATTGATATTATATCATGTCATTTTGTTAAAGAGTACTGGTGCAACATATCAGCACATCATGCATAAGGTTTTCAAAGATATCATCAGACATGCAATAAAGGTATATGCCGGCAATATGCTATTAAAAAGTTTGAAAGAATGTCAACACATATCTCATCTAGTTGAGTTCTTTCAAATTCATCGTCGTTGAAACATGTGCTTAACCGAGCTAAATGTGCATTTTGAGTCACGTTGGAGAATTTTATGGAATTCATGGACACTCATTGTGGATTTGAGGTAAACCCAGAGAAGATAAACGCGTTGAGAGGCAATGTGCCTTGATGAACGTCAAGGAAGTGCAGAGGTTGAACTATTACATGACCGTCCTATCGCAATTCTAGGTCCGCTTTGGAGATAAGTACCTATTATTCTTTAATGTATTGAGAGGTGCTCAAAATGCCTGTTTTTAGTGGAATAAAGAATGCCAATCCAATTTTAGCAACTCAATACATATTTAGCCTCACGACCCCTCTTTTCAAAGCTCTTCCAACGGGTTTTGTTGTCATTAACCTTATTTTTTCATCTTACACGTTGAAATGTGTTATGATTAGGTAGGAAAACTTTGTCCAATGATCTGTCTACTACATCAACAAGATTTTCTTCAACACAAATAATTGCTACACATTGTCATACTAGATTGTGCTAGCCCTAATAATATCAACAATATGATTCTTTTCGTACTTTCAAGCCTATGCAATCGGTTTTGTATGTATCTCCCTTTGAAGGCTATCCTACAAAGGCCAAAAGCTACGATAATATTAGTTAAATGGTAGTAGAGTTGGGAGAGTTCGACATTCATTGCCTATCCCAACCAAACATCAGATCACTAGTTTTGACTGACATTGTGATGAATTGCATTGCGCCTACCTTTGATGAGTTAACTCTTTCTCACCCGGTGTCGCCTTAGTGGACCTTATATATGGACATAGCATTTGTATGCTTTGTAGATAGTGCTAAAATATTGATCATCTCCCTGAAGCGGGACATATTGATGTACACACTGCCTCAATTTTTCAACTACAACAATCGTGTCAAATACGAAACCCTCGTTGTCAACTTGGGTAATAATTCATGTAGTCGAGCTGAAGGGTCATTTTGGATGAACCCGATCACTTTTTTGAGATGAAACATTGATGATGTTATTGCGTTAGTTTGCTTCTGTCGTATGGTCACCAACTTCATCACTATTTAGGATGAACTATATAAGAAAATATTTGCGAGTTCATATCTCAAATGTCTTCTATCATCTGAAACCGGTTACACTCTATGTAAGGAACATTTCAGGATATGCAGGAGCACCTATGTGGTAAAGCTCTCACCTTTAAGATATCGAGACAAATATTTTACTGGACCGCAATCAAGCAAGATGCAATGGATTTCGTACAACAATGCAAAAGTTGTCAAGTACACTCCAATCTTGCCCATACGTCGCCAGTAGAACTGACATTCCTTCTGAGCCCCTAACCTTTCGCCCAATGCGGGTGAACCTCATTGGACCATTCCTGATAGTTACCAAATAGTGTAAGTTCATCTTTCTAGCTACCAACTACTTCACTCATCGGGTTGAAGTTGAGTCGTTTTCCAAGATCACTAAATTCAATGCCAAGTAGGTTGTTTGAAAGTATATTGTCCATCGCTTCGGTCTCCCTGTGAAGATTATCGCCGACAATAAAACATAATTCTTCAGGAAAGTCTTCATATCTTTCTGCAACGGATCTTCATATCCAATATATGCATACTGTCGTAGCAAACCCTCGAATGAACGGGCAAAGAAAAGAGACAATTTTGACCATGTTCATTGGGTGTCATGCAATACATCATTTTTGTTCTCCAAGAAACATGAGCCAAAAGGGCAACATGCGAGATTTGAATCCATGACTTGAGAGTGGAAAACTAACACGCAACTACAGTCATTATATCATGAATAAAAACTTGGTTCAAATCCCTAACTTCTTGATGAAAAATATTGTCGAATTTCTTAATTTCTTGAATTTTAATAAGAAAAACTGTGAGTATTGGATGGCTGACTTAGATGACCGGACATTTTGCCTGCATCAAATAATTATACCACACAAACAAGAAAAAAATAATGAGAAATTATTATGGCTGTCATTCTTTACATTGCCGTCAACGCAGGGCCCAGCTAGGCGTGGACTCGCTGACTCCAACCAGCGGTGATGCCTCGACCGGCGATGATCAGCGAGTCGCCAAAATCATTCCCTTTTACCTCAATCGAACTGTTTTTTAGGGCTGCTACTTTTGCTTCAGATGCTAAGATCTCGTGCTCCTTTGCTCTGTAATGGGACGGTAGGCCACTGCCTCTCTATCCGGGCTTTTTGCCGAAAGCCATTGTTGGTTTCGGTCCCACAGATGCGAAAGTGGCTCCGATGTTTCGACCATCAAAATAGAATCTCCAGAGGTGTTTGTTCCCCATTCCCTTTATGTTTCTTTTGTCTAATTTGTATTGGTGTTATTTGTGGAGCCGAGTTATTTTGCCTATTAGTTTCTGCTTTTGTTCAGCCTTCAATTGTTTGTAATTGTAGAGATAAATTTGCAATAAAGGTATAACAGTTTCCGAAAAGTAGATTTCTGATTCTTATTGCTCATCTTTCGATGTGTACAGTAAGTTATGTATAGAGAGAGTGTGAGTGTATAGGCGGTGAAGTGATAAGGTTGTCTGCTTATGTTATTGGGCTAGGATGAGGTGAGCTGTTAAGGAGTTGTGGCTGAGATGAATTTAGTACAGAAAGGGCAGATTATCTTGGTGAAGTGGTACCCCCCTTCAAGGTGAAGATGTGGTCGAACTATTGTCAGCTTGCTTTGAAGAAATTGGTGACTGAGAGGAGGAGACTGATTTGGTGAAGATGTTGATGTTTTGGTTGTCTTCATGATATGTAATATGATTATTTTATTGAATTTGAGATGTCCCTTGATAAAGTGGTAGTATACTTCAACGGTTTCATCCCAGCATGGAAGATTGGTCTGTTAGCCGATGAGATTGTGGAGGTAATATCAAAGTAAATTGGAGTAGGCTGAGAGGATGGGCAATTTAGTTTCCTGAGAAGATGACAAAGCCATAGAACATCAGATGTGGCAGTGGCAAGACTTTGTGTTGTGATTTGGGGGAGGATCTGACAACTGTGGGTTGTTTCTTTATAATGTAAGAAAAAAGTATGGAGCCAGGGAAAAAGCAACGGCTAGTGATAGACTTTCAGTCTTGTGCATTCCCGACCCAATTAGAGTTAGAGTAGGGGTGAAGAGTAAGGTCACTTGTTGAGATAGGAAGGTCGTAGGTGGACGTACCTTTGAGATAGTGAGGGTGCTGTTTCGTGAGTTGTTAATGATGACCTATAGGTTGATGCAGGCATTTGTTGAATTGGTTGATTGCACAAGCGATATCAGATTGAGTAATGAAAAGATATAGAAGTGAGCCTACTGGCTATCGGTATTGAAAAGGATATACAAGGAATTGTTGGGCCGAAGTGAGAATGTTGTTTTGAGGGAAAATGAATAAGATCATGTTAACACTACGTCATAATAGTATTTTTAAGATTGCTAGCAAGGTGATTGTGCTGATGGAGGAGGGACGAACTTATATTCTTAGAAATTGCAATATGTTACCCAATTGTTTGCTGCTGGAGGCAAGGCCAAGGTTGTGGATGAGATCACAAATTGCCAACGATTGATTCCTAGTTATCAGGATGTCATCCACATAGGTGAGGAGGTAAAGGTGTACATTGTGTCGATGCTAATTTAGTGAGGAAGGATCACTTGAGCTGAGATTAAAGCTATATATGAGGAGATGTCTATAGAATGTAGACTAACACTGGAGATTGGTGAATATATAGATGGTCATAAAAGTTGTTGTGAAGGACGGCGTTGGCAATATCGAGGTGCTAAATGGGCACTTGCGATGGACTACAAGAATGAGGATAATGCGAATAGTTGGACGCTTGGCCATTAGATTGAAGGATTAGTGTTAGTCGATGCCATGCTACCATCTGAATCTTTGAGACGCATTAGAGTTATGTTTGATTTTATACGCCCATTTACTTCCTAGGATGGCGTGCTGAGGTTGAGGGGGTACCAAGCATCAAGTTCCTTTTTATTGTAATTCTAGAAATTTGCCAAACTTTGTTTGTTGTCATCTAGAAAATTTGAGACCGTGATTTAGCATGCAGTTTCATTTGGAGGATGGAGCTAATGACTAAGATGAAGGATTTGTTTTTATGGGGAACTAGCTTTTAATTTGGTTTACATAGGATGGATAGTGGACGCCAGAATTGGTGATTGTGATTGTAGATGTGAAGAAGAATTGGTTTCTTGGATGTTGCAGGAGAAAAATGGGAGGACATTAGTGGAAGAGGTTTGGAAGATGTTGCTTTGTGTTGGTGTGAGGAGAGTTAGTTGATTGGCCGCTGGAAGTGAGAGTGTAATGGATGTAGGGGTTAGTGTAAGGGGTGAGGGCTACTATGAGGTAGTAAGTGTTGGTGGCAATAGCGATTGAGTTAAGTTTTTGTAAAGGAGTGTTGTATCATTGAAGTTGACTTGGCGGTTGACTAAGATTTTGCCTAAATGGGGATTATAAAAATGATGTCATTTGCGATTAGAAGAATAATGGGGAAATACACAAGCAGTGGAATGATGTTGAAAGATCTTGTAAATAATTATGATTATATTCCATATTTGTTATACTCTATATTTAGAGTTTTATGAATTGTATGAGCGATCTTAGGAATCACTATTTATTTTCTTCTATATTAGGATAGTTAGTTGAATAATATATTTCTTCTTAATTAGGGAGATTAGCTGTCTTTTTTGTCCCTAGTTAAAACTCTTTAAACATATGTACATCAATATAGAAAAGTGATTCAACCCTCTTATATTTTTTTTCCACTGTTTTCATGGTATCAGAGCCTGCTGCTCGTTCGTCGAGATTGTGATCGGAGTCGTTGGTGCAGAGACCCAGAACTCTGCTTTTCCTTTCTTCTGCTTCGTCGTCGCGAAGCAACTACAACTGGAGCTCGCTCGGAAGGCAACGAGTGGATCATGTCTCGCTGGAAAGGATCACGACAGAGAACCCTCACAACACAATTGCTGGGAAAGGAAATCGCACTGTCCCAGACATTGCGCGTGTGGTTGACGAAGCGATCCCGCTTCTCGAATTCCTTTCGGCTGTGAAGGCCGAAATCTTTTGCTTCGGCGGGCGAATCTCGGGTTTCTGCTGCACGCTCATAGACAACACGTGCTCGAGCAAGTTCACCGTTCTTCATCTCTAAAATGTCTGAAGTCACGTCTAGGACAAGCCGACCTCTTCAGCCATCTCAGTCCGACAAAGAGAAATACGTATGAAAATCATCCCATTCAGATGACTACAAGCTGACTAAATGGCGATAGTTTTCTTCGATGGTCACAATTTGTTCACATGTATCTCTGAAGAAGAGGAAAGATTGGCTATATCACAGGTGATACTGAGCAGCATGACGTGAATGACATAACTTTTGTCATTTGGGATGCGTAAAACTCAATGATAATGACATGATTGATCAGTTCCATGAATGAAGAGATAAGTGCAAGTTACTAGTGTTACTCTACAACCAAGGAAGCCTACAACCAAGGAATTATGGGACAATGTTTCAGAAATGTACTCTGATATTAAAAATCAATCCCAAGTTTACGAGTTGACCATACGACTTGGGGAAATTTGCCAAGGTGAGGATTCTGTGACGAAGTATTTCAACTCTCTTAAGCGGATTTGGCAGGACCTGAACTTATTCAACAATCATGAGTGAAAATCAAATGATGACTCCAACCAGTACAAGAAGATAGTGGATACTAACCGAATCTTCAAATTTCTTGCAGTTTTAAACGTTGAGTATGACGAGGTCCGTGACCGAATAATTGGAAGAAATTCTTGCCTCCAATTGGTGAAGTTTTTGTGGAGGTAAGGAGAGGAGAGTTAGAGATATGTGATGTTGGGGAAGAAAACTGCAGGTTCAACCGTGTCCGTGGACGGATCAACACTGGCTATTTCTGAAGCTCAAGTAAGTAAGAAAACTTATCATAACCACCGTGTAGAAGACAAAAATAACCTGCAATGTGACCACTGTGGAAAGCCACGTCATACTCACGAAAAATGCTGGAAGTTGCATGGTAAACCACCTAATAGTAAGGGAAAAAATATGGTGTACATGCACACTTACAACAAATGATGCTGAGTCATCTCCACTTAGTAAAGAACAATTAAATCATCTTCTTAAACTGCTGAATTCTTGCTCATTATTAAATGCTCCTATCGGTTGTATAGCACAAACATGTAGTAATCATTTGACTTTATCTGTTCTAGGAAGTACCACTCTTTGGATTATAGATTCAGGAGTCTCTGATCATATGAAAAACTATTCTCAATTATTTGATTCGTATTATCCATGTTCCAATTCCGAAAAAATCAGAATAGCTGATGACAGTTTTTCATATATTGCAGGAAAATAAAATATTAAAATTTCAGAAAAAAATTCTCTGAAATCAGTCTTACATGTTCTAAAACTTACATGTAATCTTCTTTCCGTTAACAAATTGTCTAAAGACTGATTATTTCATTCTTTTTTTCTCCTTCCAATTGTGTTTTTCAGGACCGGAACTCGGGGAAAGATGATTTGAACTGCTAGAGAAATAAATGAGATGTACTACTATGATGGAACTGATTCTGCGAATAAAACAACTCATGTATTAGGTAGTACAAGTTCAAGCTTTGACTATAATCAAGTTATGTTATGTTATAAAAGATTAGGACATCCTAGCTTTCCATATCTCAAATCTTTATTTCGTAAACTATTTAAAAGTATTGATTGTTCAAGAATTCATTGTGAAGCTTGTAATTTAGCTAAAAGTCATCGTGTTTCGTTTCCAATAAAATCATATTCTGCTTCAAAATCATTTTATTTGTTGCATAGTGATGTTTGGGGTCTATCCAAAGTTAACACATTTTATGGAAAAAAATAGTTTGTAACATTTATTGATGATCACACACAAATTTGTTGGGTTTATTTATTGGAAAAGAAATATGAAATTAAACAACGATTTAAAGTTTTTTTCCACATGATTGAAAATCAATTTCAAACAAAAAATGACATTCTAAGAACAAATATTGGGATGAAATATTTCAACAAATATTTGAGAACATTTATTTTGGAAAAATGTATTTTGCATCAATCTACTTGTCGTGACACACCACAACAAAATGGTACTGATGAAAGGAAAAATATGCATTTACTTGAAGTTGCCCGAACACTTATGTTTTCTATGAATGTTCCTAAATATCTTTGGGGTAATGCACTCCTTACCTCCCGTTATTTAATAAACAGAATGCCATATCGAGTTCTGAAATTTGAGACATCTTTACAAGCCTTGAAAAATTAT